GTGTGAGCAGCTTTATATTGTAAAGTGCCGCGCAAACTGTTGGCGCCATATAAATCCTGTATAATAATATTAATAACCTAGTTCGCCTGAGTTCACCCAAGTCCGCTCTAATCTCTGACCGCCACTCTCTCCTTCCAGCCCAATGAGTGATGGAATTTGCAGGTGGGGGGAATTCCCTGCCCCTTTGTGATGTATAGCTGCAGGGCAGAGAATGTGCCTTCCCGCGAGTGATTCGGGAGGAGGGGGTGGCGGTCAGAGTTTTTAATGGACTTGGACAAACTCAGGTGCATTAAGCCCAACCTCATCTCTAGTAGTGTGTCAAAAAAAGAAATGGTCAGATACTTTTTTGTAGTGCATGGATGCTTAATGAGAACAAACAGACATGTGCATCACATCAACATGTGTGAATAGGCCCTAAATTGGACCTGAACATTAGTAGTAGTCATTATACGGTGAGACATTGCAGGCCGCTATCATGCTGACACTGCACTAAGGATGTGCAGGGTCTTGATTTGAACCCAGTTTGCTGAAGTTCACCCAAACCCATTAAAAACTGTGACTGATACCCCCCCACACCCCTTCCTGGCCTGGGGCATTCCACGCCCCTTCGTGATGTATAGTTGCAGGGCGGAGGATGTCCCGGTCGCAACTGATTGACCGATCGCCAGTACAGAGAGTGAAAGAGGCTGCGGGCACCTGAGCGGGGATCAGGTAAGGAAAAGTGCTCTAAGTAGGTCCCCAAGACAAAAATGAGCAGGTAACACACTGCAAGGAAGGGTATTTTCCTGGAGATAGGCTTTGCCTGCTGAGGATGGGAGCTTGTTTTAAACCTGCTGTGATAAAACTTTCTTTAATGCAGAAAAGACTCAACCTGGCCATACACTGGTAGATTTTCCTACCAACTTTCATGCAAAGTTCAGTAAACTCTGTTTTCTGGTATTCAACTAACCAGAACTCTCATCCAACCAGAGTGAAAAAAAATCCCCTGTGTACTCATCGTTCTGCTGATCTGCAACATGTATTATCCTGGAAACGATTTATTTGTTGCTTTATACACTTTTATTCACTGTTATACTGGATTTGCTGTGAATTTCAATACAGTCTGAAGTATTGGAATTATCTGGATAGTGCGGTCTGTTCGTATACTACTACATTTCTGGTGGCTAAGGTATTGGAGCGGTGAAATTTGCTTTGCCTCTACATAGTATGGGGTATGGTATTAGACCTATTTGTAATAGTAACTCTCAAGCAACCAGAAACCTACATTTATCCGGAATCTACCAATCCGTGTGGATGCCGGATAACGGGAAGTTTACTGTATTTGGTCAGAGCGGTGGATAATGCCGTTAGAGACTTGACGAATGTTGATCAAAATTTCATTTGATTTTTAACATTCAGTTTTGGAATGAATGGTGTTTACCGAAACAAAAAGCACATTCACTGCTGGAATTTGTGTGTTCAACAAAAATGTTTAATCCTGCTCCTTGTTTATTTCTTAATCGCTAGAGACAAAACCGATTGTCGATTTCACCCTATTAACTATTAGAAAATCAAATTAAGGCTCTGAATAAAATTCCAACTGTGTATTCCCGCTTTAAGCTGTTGGGAACCCACCCATTCCCTCCTAAACCATTTCAAAGTGAAGGTCGTGTTAGGCTGGCCATACACCTATAGATTATCTGCGGATTTTCTGTGGTAAGATGGAAAAAGTGCAACCTACCTGAACAATCTGATTGGATGCAGACACTATTCAGGTATTTTGAGAGCCAGCGGGGCCGACTAGCCAGATACTGAAGCTTGGCCCAGTGGGAGATTCCTCCATCCACACAGTTTAGCGTAGATGGAGGAATCTGTTGCACATTTTTCCATCTGACCATAGAAAATCTGCAGATAATCTATAGGTGTGTGGCCGGCTTTAATGTAGAGTGGCTCAAAAGCTGGCAATGGATTGAATTTGCCTGTTTCCTGCTGAATTGGTTGACATTTGAGCAGTGGGCGGCCCCGTCAGCACAACCCGACATGCAAAAGTCTTTTTTTCAATCAACGTTTGTTGAAGGAGCCAAGTGGACATTTGTCAGCTGCAGCCAATCAGCTGAGGCCACCGTTCGGGTATTAAGACAGCCGCGGACGCCAACTATGAGATACAATAGCGGTTCGGAGAGATTCCTCCATCCAAAAAACTACACGTGAACGGCCAGTTTAGTCTTTTCACCCCCCTGCTATAGAAAAGGATAATAGTTTCTAGACATGTGCACCAGCAAGAAATCTGTTTTAGTTTCATTTCGTTTTGATTTGGATTTTGCGTTATTTCGTTTTTCGGGATTCGGGTCCGAAAGTCAATTCGTTTCGGGATTCGGACGTAATTCGCGGTAGTCTGCACGAATTTTCGCTTTCTTTCCGTATTCGTTTCATTCGTTTCGTTGCAGCAAAGTGACATTTAAAAAAAAAAATTTTGTCTAATGTCACTTTGCTGCAACGAAAATTCGTCCACAAACGAAAATGCGTACAGACTACCGCTAACGAATTTTGTCCGAAATTTCAATTCGGATTCGTTTTCATTCGGAAATTCGGATACATCCCAATCTCCGAATAACGAAAATTCATCCGAAAAACACATTTTTCCGAAAGGAATGGCTCATGTCTAATAATTTCTCATCAGTGACACCAATTTCCTGACATGCAGGAGGACCCGTGTGCACCTCACCAAGTGCTTATGTGGGCTTGCTATTCCTATGGTGTTAACCCCTTCATTGCTAGTGACATCCCATAGCAGTCTAGGTTCCGCATGGCTGCGTAGAGCCTTCCTCACCGCAGTTTGGTGCTGGGAGAGAAGGAACATTTCAAGGCTGACTATAGCAAAGAAAGATGCGCTTCTAGTAGCTCATTTGGAGTATTGTATTTTGGTGGCTGTAAGAGGTTAATACATGTAGTGATAGAATTTGCTAAAGCACTGCCGATCGATAACAATTGCCGTTTTATTTTAATAAAATACTTGTTTTCACATTTTCCATCCTCTGTTGAATCTCAGTGCATCTGATCTCCTGCTGCCTTTTTACAGCTGCTTCCTGTCTACATGCACTCCAATGTCCAAATGACAGGTTTTTTTTAATCATTTTTAAGAATAAGATTCTAATAATTCACAAAGAATAAAAAAAATCAGTGACAGTCCATTGGGAAGCCATAGTTCCTGTATAGAAACAAAATACAAAGTCACCGGTACATTCACCTCATAAGGTGTGTTGAATTATGAGGTCTGTCCTGATGAGAGAGTTGGCAGGGACAACCTGGTCTCATCAGTGATAGAGAAAGAGCAAGAAAGCCTGAAACGAGGGAAAGAGATGTGAGGGATAGTATAGTACCATGATAAACTAGCATCTGCCCCCCAATAGCGTGCACTGTCCCCCCATCACCACTAGGGCCAGATTAAGAGCATCATGGACCTGGTGCTGTCAGCCAAGAAGCAGCAGAGGTGGCTCTCTATTGCATGGTGCAGTAGGTCAGGGCGTCTTTATAATGAGGCAGCCTGAGGTGGTTGCCTCAGGCGGCATCTCACTGGGTCACATGCACATTTGCTGCCCCCTCTTTAGCCACAGTGTTCCAGGTTGCTAGGAGATCTTAGCGACCTGTTATGCTCAGTCCGGCGTCCCGTCCAGCTCACTGACGTCACTGGTTGCCAGGAGCTAAGCGGGATGCTCTGATTTGTGTTCTGTCCAGAGCCGGACCCAGAGGTAGAACCAGTATCCAGTGGCATCACAAGATGGGTGCGGGGGGGTGCGGCCCGCACCTGGGTGACACCACTGGAGGGGTGACACCAAAATGACTCGCCCCCTCTGAAAAGTCGAGCGCTCGGTCATGGACCGAACGCCCGACAGTATCAGGAGAGAGGAGGGGACTGTCCCCTCCTCTCTCTGCCGGCGTCCATCACCAGGATGGCCGCCAGCAGGTATCAGAAGACTGCCGCGCGTGCACTGACGTCTCGGCGGGGCGACACTCGGTTATTGCTCCGGGTGTCACCCAGCCTCGGGACGCCCCTGCCAGTATCTGCCCCCCCCATAGCGTGCACTATCAAACCACCACCACCAGGGCCGCATTAAGAGCATCATGGGCCTGGTGCTGTTGGTCAGTCGGACAGGAAGCAGCAGAGGCAGCTCTCTAATTAGGCGGCCACTCGCTCCCCGCTGGGGCCTCGCAGCCGCCTGAGAATGCGTTATTAGAGAGCCAACGGCGCCTCTGCCTGATTGTGTTCAAGCCCCTTTTTACCAGTTGCAGAATCACAACTGGGAGACTTAATGCCATGAACATGTGGAGGGCTCTTGCACATTGCTCCCTGTGGTCACCCAATATAAATTCCGGTGTATTTACACCACCAGAGAGCCAGAGGTGCGCGTACAGCTTCCAATAACCAATGGCTAGAATACACCGGACATGAGCATGCGTACAGGCTCACAACCTTGAAAGCTGACACTCCACGTTGGGGTCATGTGCCCCTATGCATTTGTGCGTTTACCTACATTCAACCATTAACCTCTATAAGAGGCTGTACAAAGCACCTGTGGCCCCCCGGCGGTGGAGATGCAGCAGATTTTACAACCACAGAAGGTCATGTTCTATAACCCTATTGCTTATATGAGATATTAGTGATTGGGTTTACATTTATTCCCGTGACACTGTCTCTGTGAAGTACAGCAGCCATGACAACGTTTGAATGAATTGTCCCCAAGTGACCTGCTGAGCTCCCTCTTATCATAGCACAGCTAGTTTCCGCTCTAGCCGAAACCAAGCCCCGCCTTCAGCTTCCTCTACGCCGAATACCTTGGGCGTCGACTGAGCCCATGCCTCGCCTCTCTCCACGCCCCCTTTACACTATTACACTACATTCCCAGCTCAAGCCGCGTGACGTAGCCAGATGTGCAAGGCTCAATCCCGGCTACGGTAGCCTGTAAGACTCAAAGTTGCTCGGAGGGCGGTAGCGCGTTTCATATCCCGTAGCCACAGTACGAAAGGAATGTCGTGATTGGTGGGCGACAGAAGCCTGTTCTGAAAGCTGTTCCGCTATTGGTTGAGGTCCCCAGCGGCATGGGTCCGAGTGCAGGCTTTGTATACAGTCACTGGAGCTCGGCCCTTTAACAATGGATAGGGAGAACCTGGCCGATTGATGGACGGGGCCAGCCAACAGAACGGGGGGATCGGTTACAGGGCGGACGAGATGTGTTTGGGCTGTGAGCGGCGATCCGGAGCTGATCAGTGAGCGAGGTCGGTCCGGGGTAGATGGAGGATTGGGGGGGAGGTGTTCGGGGGACTTTGCGGGTAACTTGCCCGGGGGAGTGAATGTGAGTGTGCGGGGGGCTTTGTTGGCTCCAGCCTTGCATCCTCCATGGACATCAACCCACGCACAGCCCATTGCATCACATATAAAATCTTCCCTTACTATGTGTGCCAAGAGATCTGATTGTATTATTAGTAGCAGACTTGTAGCTGGATGGGACCTTTAATGTTCCATGCAATCCTGCTATAGCCCCTGCCTGGGGATCACTTGCCTGTTTCATCCTGAAAAGTGGAAATGTCCTTTTAATATTCATAAACATGTAACATAAAAAAGGATATTTTTATTTTAGTCATGTGATTGCAATTTTCAAATCTCATTGACCCATCCTTTCAAATAATTCCTTTTTTTTAAATATGTTAAGATCCCTGTGTTTCCTTGTATCCCTTTTGTATAGTACGCCTGTTTTCCATTTGTAATTCTTATTTATTTTAATTTTTTTATGCTTGGAGATAAACATGTTAGCCGGGTATTCCTTTTCATCAGAATGTTAATTAGGTTTTGCGGGTGTGATGAGACCTGGGCTGGGCAGTATCTGTCTGGGAGGAGAGGGTTAAACCTCTGTTGGTGGGATTTTAATTAAGTGCAAATAAGAAGAGAAGAGGAGATTCTCTGTCGTTATTCCGTGCTGGCTGTGTGTCTAGCAGATGGGCTCTTTGGATGTAAACTTTGGACGGGGCGAGTTGTTTTAAGCCGATGGAGGAAATCAACTTTTGCTGACCGCCTTGTCTTGCAGGCTGCACTTCTCTGCGTTTTGGCCCTCTGGACATCTCAGGAGATGGAGCTGGAAAGCTTGTGGTGGAAGGGCCAACTTGCTGCGGATATCCACCAGACTCTCCGGTATAAAGTAAGTGGGGGTGTCTTGCGAGTTTTATTATTAATTTAAGAATGCTTTATTCCAATCTTATCAATTTAATTATAACCG